ATCTGGGCTTGAAAATAAGCAAACCAGACGTTGTGCTTGAGTGGCCCTCTCCTAGCAGGATGAATGGCCTCTGTGCATCAGCACATGTTCACCTTTGGCCACAGGGAGGACACAGGCGTCTGAGCTAATGAGTGCATCCCTCTTTGGTGAGTAGGCATCCCTGGGCGTGGAGACAGGCTGGGCAAGTCTGCTGCTGAGGTTTCTTTTTTGTAAACTTGAGCCATCCAGGACTGCCTCGTCTTTTGTAAAACTCCAGGTTATGAAACAGTTTCTCCAGAAGCACCTGTTGACAGTTTAAGGTCCCGTATTGGTTATCTGCTGCTGTGTAACAAACTTCTCAAAAAGTTTAGCAGCTTTAACCAGCAAATTCTTACTATCTCATAGTTTGCATGGATTAGCCTTGTTCTATTTGCAAAGTCTGTTATGAGGTTAAATCAAGGTGTCAGCTGAGACTCGGTGTTGGAGGATTCATTGCTGCCCAGGTTGCTGGGTGCTGGTAGCAGGCCCAGGACCTTGTGCCTGTGGCTGGATCTGTCAGTTCCATATGAGGGGGTTGTTTCCACAGGCACCTCACAAGATGGTGGCTGGGGAGGCCATCCCAGCCAGGAGCCACCTGATCTTATAACTTATCTCAGAGTAACAGTGCTTCAATTCTTCTAGATATACTTTATTAGAGGCAAGTCCGTGAGTCCAGTGCAGACTTAGCAGGTAGAGATTACACAAGAAGGTGAGAACCGGGAGGCAGGGGCCATGCGGTGCCTGAGGCGGCCTACTGGTGAGGAAAGAATGACACGTTGGAATTAGGTTTAATTATGTTATTTCCTACATAGAATTAGAGTGTCTGATATACTTATTAAAGCTGCAGTAGCTGAACCAGGCCAGTAGGAGGTCAGAGAGTTGCAGGAAAAGTTAACTAGATTCTAAGGGACCTTCTATAAACTTGTGACTGTCCAGGATTTTTGTCCCCAGTCGTGAAGGTTAAGTGTCTTATTTTTGCATCTGCTTCCCCCAGCATGGAAGATTGCTGATTTTTAAAAAATGCTCTCCCAGAGGGCTGGTGCCTGGAAGGCCAGTAGCCTGATCACCGAGGTGTGTAGGCACGTGGTGGTTTGGGTGGCCATGTCTTCCTGATCAGCAGGATCTCCTTGTGGGGGGAGGTAATTAGGCCAGTGAAGGTCAGCACATCTGGAAGCCAGGCAGATGGGGGGCTAGCTCTGAGTTAGACATTTTGGATGCACATTAGTACCAGGTGCTGTGTGCCAGCTGGGTCCGTCTTGCCACGGGCACCCTCCTGCTTGCATCCACCCGGGTTGCTGTGCTGAGGGGCACGGCTGCCATCATGTCTAATGTTTCTGTCTCATTTCTAAAGGCAGTGCCCCTCAAATTCTCACTAACATGTTTTATAAAAGTTTAGTTTGTGTTTTTAAACCCAAATGATGTAGGCAGATTGATGAAAGCCATTCGTTTTCTTAACCTTATTATAAAAAAGGTGAGACCTTTGGTGGCCATCCTCCCCATTTCCTGCTCCCCAAAAGCAATTGTTTGAAACTGTTAAAACTGTTTCTTTCAGTCATTGCCTCAGTGTCTCAGAACAAGACTGTTGCCACTTTCTGATTTTTCACTTGTAGGCATTATTGATTTCTCACTGTGGAAGATGGGTAACACCCCCACACCCCCACACCCCTTGGGCACAGTCACGGCATAATTTAGCTTACACCAGTATCGGGGATTGTTTTATTATACTCTGAACGTGCCAAGCCATCAGGTACAGGGTCATTTTTCCTGCACAGCCTTTTGGCGTCCCTGGAGTTAAAGCTTGTATTTCTTTTTCCTTTCGTTGATGCGTGTGCTCTGTGCTCATCTCTGACTGATCTCCTGGTCCCCCTCAGTATGGAAACCCCCTCAGGAGGCTCAAGCACATTAAGTCACCTGTCACTCGCATCCTGAAGCGTGTCTCTGGGGCCTGCTGACCTGCCCCAGCGAGCAGCCTGCTGCTTGGTGGCTCACGGCTCTGACTCAGTTTTGTTTTTATTTCTCAAATAATGGCTTTGAGATTTAATTCATACCATACCATTCAGCTGCTTTTACTGCATTTGTGAGGTTATATGACTGTCACACACCAATTCCAGAACATTCTTATCACCCCTGAAAGCAGCTGCAGGCCCATTAGCGGTAACTGACCCAGCTTCTGGTGAGGGACCCTGTGCTGGGTGTTTCAGGAGGACAGGTCCTCATGATGCATGGCTTTGGGGGTCTTTCCAGATGTGCCCATGTCACAGCAAGACCCAGCGCTGCATTCCTGTGCGTGGCTGAGTGGGATGCTGTGAGGACAGACTGCGCTTTGTCCATCCCTTCTTCATTTGGGGTCTTGCCACTTTTGGGGTTTTATGAAAAAATCCTCCGGCTCACTGTGTGCTCGTCCCCTGTAACTTGGATTCTGTGCTCTACTGTTACTGGATTTGTTTTCTCCTTATCATGGGAGGCAGAGTGTCTGTGGGCTGTGTCTGCATGTCTGGGTGCCACCTCTCATGTGGTCGGCCGTGTGATTCGAGGTGGGAGATGTTTTTTGTTGATCCCTGGTTGGCCAAAGGGATTATTATAAAAAAGGTGAGACCTTTGGTTGCCATCCTCCCCATTTCCTGCTCCCCAAAAGGGCTTTAGAACCTTAGGCTATTTCCAGTGTGAAGCCCTCTGTGACAGGTGACACTTGAGCTTTTGCTCTAGCTGCCTCTGTGCTGTGACCCTGGTGCTGAGAAGTCGACTGTGGCCTCCCCCTGAGCCACGTGCTCACTGAGCCCGTCAGTCTTGACGCAGTGCCTGGGGCGCGGGGTTTTGAGGTGTTTCACCATGTACCTGCTCTGTGTCGTCTTCCCCCCTTTCTTGTGTTTCCTTTCTCATTTTCCACTTAGTTATCTGCTGTCTCTATTTTCTGGAAGTTTCCTGCCCTCCTGCGCTCTAGTCAGTGTTCCCTTGTGCTGTCATGGTTTAGCTGCAGAAAAGAGCTTTTTAGTTCTCTGTTTTCACTTTTTGAAAACTGTTTCCCTGTTCTTGTCTTATGACGCCGTCTTCTCCCCTCTGTCTCTGTGAGCATTGCTGGTAATTTGCTTTTGAAGTCCCCCACCTCTCTCTACAAGCTGAATTTGTTCATTCTGCTCCTGTCTTTGATCTGAGCTGCTGTCTCTCAAGGGTGGTGACCTGGCTCTGTGCTCTCATGTTGGAGCAGTGCCCGAGGGTGGATGGGCAGCTCCATGGAGACTGATGTGGGGTCTCAGCATGTGGTCAGGCTGTGTCATCCTGAGGTCCATCTCCTCTCCTCTCTTGGCCACTTAGGCTCACAGGGGACCCTCTCCTGTTGCTCCCTGCAGCTGTGTGTTGGCTGCTCTCTGTGGGAGGGAGTGGGTAGAGAGGGGCAGAATGGGAGAAGCCCAGGCGCAGGGTGTCACTTCTCTCACTGTTCTAAGCTGCCTGGCTCTCAGCTCAGCCCGTGCTGCTGTGTTACATATGTCACAAGCCCAGGCTGCTCTGCCGTCTGCCTGTCACTCAGGCCTGTGGCCCCTCGTTTTGGTTTCTGGACCATCTTTCACTCCCCTTTCCCAGAGTGTGTGTGAGCACTTTGTGGTTCTTTAATGAGTCCTTCCATCTTAATAGGTTGAATTTGGGTGTGGTCCACTTCTACTTAGGAGTGGAACTCTTACCTCACTCTCAGCTTCTGAAATTCAGTCGTTTCCTCTGTAGTTCTTTTTTTCCTTAAGGATAAGTTTAAAAATTTAAATTGATATCTTAATGGGATCTTGAGAGAATGTGGGTACAAGTTAATGAGTTCCAGCTCTGGTCTTTCACTAGAAGTCTTTTACATTTTTTTCTGTAAATAACTATTTCAAGCTATAGGTTGTCCCCGGGTCACTGCAGCAGGGGCTGCAGCAGCAGTCCCCTGGCACGGGAACAGCATCGCGCAGGCGTTCTGTTGCTGGGGCCTCACTGGCGCAGCAGGCCCAGCCAGCTGTCCTGGTGGAGTTGTAGCCATTGGGTGGCTGGGAATGGTCACAGATCACGTCAGGTGTGGGGACTCCAGTGTTGCTCGGCCTTCCTCATGTTCACTCCCTCCTGGAGGTCACGGGGGCGAGCCTTAGATCCTCACCATCGTGGTTGCCAGGGCATCAGGAGAACTGTCGTGGGGAGCACACGAGAAACGGCCTCGTGCTGAGGCTCAGGCCGAGCCTTATTCTTGGGGCACACCCCTTCTGGAGGAGCTCCTTCCTGCTTTGGTTGTCCCACTTTCCTGGGAACCACGTGGCTGCAGTTCCCAGTCCTCCTTTACCTGCTCTCTGGAAAAAGCCCATACACATGGATGTGCACCTGGTTGTGGGTCCTGTGCCCTGCCCTGGGAGGCATCTCCCTGTGGCATGGCCTCGTGGTCACTCATGCATTGCCAGTAGAGCATTCACAGAAGCTGTCACCCTCAGAGGGCTTGCAGAAGCCAGTTCTTGGTCTTGCATGTCACCAGAACCCCATTACCATCCTACGTTGGACTGGAGGCAGGCACTACCTTGTGGTATAATGTTGTTGACAAAGAAATTTGGCCAACATAAAAGATCCAAGTGTAGGCCCCTGTGTTGCTGGGGCAGTGATGGCTTCCCTGGGATGGAAGAGTGATGAGGTTGTCTCAGACTCCTGTGCGTCTCTCCTGACAGTTCTGAAGTGAAGTTTATCCTCATTTTACTGTTATAAAATACTTTCGTGAGAACGCTGTGGTGTGCAAGTATTTAGTAAGTGTGTGTGTGCATACACGTCTTGTGAATTCCTCAAATTTGGCCACATATTAAAGGATCAATGCACCTACAATATAGAGTGTATTTAGGATTTGAAGGATGATTTAGTGTTACAAATTCCTCTCTCTGGAGAAGCCATTTGGGAAGGAAGTTTTTTTTTTTTTTTTAAACTGGGAAAGTAACTTCTGATTAGTGGTAATATTCTTATGGACTGTCTTTCTTTTCCTAAAGTTGTGCCAAATCTTTGGAACGTTGATGGCGAAGTTACAGTCCCTGAACAGAAGCCAGGAGAGGTTGCTGAAGAGCTTGCAAGCTCTTACGAAAGGAAGCTCATTGAGGTAAGGTTGCCTGGGAGGAGGCTGCATGTCTATTTTGGATCTCTGCTCTGGGAACCTCTGGGGACAAGGCCTAGTGTGCTAAAATGGAGCCACTAGCAAGATGACCAATCAAGACCCCCCCACACACAACAGAACAAAACAGAGATAAAACCAGTATAGACAAAGGAAAGTGGAGTTGATTCTTTGAAAAATGTCACTTAATTGGAAACATCTGGCACTTATGGTAAGGAAATGAGGGAAAGCACACATATGTACCATTAGAAGTTAAATAAATGAAACTCAGATTTGGAGGATAAAGGCAGGAGAGAACACTGCATTCAGGCTTGTGCTGCTGAGCTGGAGATGTGGGTGAGCTGGGCTGTGTACTAGAATGGCGTTCGATGCCAAATTCAACTGAGGGTGAGGCCCACTGCCCGAAAGAGCCAAAAAGCTGTGCTTGAAAGTTGAAAAAGCAATCAAAGAATGGCTTCCCTGGTGATGTTGGGCCTCCGTGGCTTCATGGCGATTTCCAGGAACACTTTCAGGGCACCCACAGAGAGCCTTCTGCTGTTTGCATTTCCTCACAGCGTTCTGTACGTGCATGTGTGTGTCTCGGTTCCAGGATATATCACTCTTCTATTAAAAACTGACAAAGCATAAAAAAACTATGCACTTGTTTCATTTAGGTAAGGATGTACAAAGATTCTAGAAAGAGATTCTTCAAATTCAGCCACATATTAAAGGATCAATGCACATACAAAATAGTGTATTTAGGATTTGAAGGATGGTTTAGCGTTAGAAATTCATCCATGTAAGTCATCTTACCAAGAGGTTAAAGAAGAAAAACCAGATACTGGGCTGGGGTTGTGGCTTAGTGGTAGAGTGCTTGCCTACCATGTGTGATACTGGGTTTGATCCTTAGCACCATATAAAAATATAAATCAAATAGTTATGTCCATCTACAACTAAAAATATTAAAAAGAATTGATTTGGATAGGTGATGAAATTTGACAGTGTTCATCGTCCATACCTGAAGAAAGTGATCTTGATGAATACGGACTGAAGTCTTTAGGCACAGTAGCATTTTATCATGAACCATCCACTGTCAGCACAATCATTGGTGAAGCTTGGGACCAAGGTTTTTATTATTTGTGTGTGTATGATGTTGTGGTGCTCAGCTGGGGGTAGTATTACAGGTCATGTCTGTAGATTCATGTCCACATGGAGGTCTGTAAGGAGACTTCCAGTACTTTCTAAGACTTCTCCAGTGAGTTAATTTTATAACCAGAAAAAGACCTACTAATTGTTAATGGGAACATGCTGGAGTTGGGGGTATGGGGGTGGGTCTGGAAGAGGATGCCTTAAGCTCATTCTCAGTTTGATCTGCTATTTTTATGCCATGCTTTCTGTGGTTCTTAAAACTACCCCTAAACAAAGGGGGCGGCTTAAGCAGCAACCTGAGTTCCAACTCAGGTGAGCTCAAGGGAAGGTGAGCTGTGACTGGGGAGCGTGTCCAGCCTTGCATGGCCTCTTGTCCCCTATCACAAGCCCCTCTGTGAAGACTGATTCAGTGGGGCGTGAGACTTGGTGTTGGCTGATGGCAGTGGCAGTGTTGAGCTGCCAGATGGGGGGCTGGTGGCTCAGGTCAAGCTTTCTCTGACCAGCCTGTGACTCCCCCTGGGAGGAGCCAGCTATGTGCCTGAAGCAGAGACATCCTCACAGGGCACGTCCTGCCCAGACTGTGTCTCATTCTTCTTTGGTTGCATAGCCAGTTTCTGCCAGTGTCCTTCCATCTGTGACAAACTGTAGCCTTTCATGACGCCAAGGCACTGGCTGAGCCCTCAGCTCTCCTGGATGGAGTCCTTGTCGCCGTGCTTGGGGCTGTTGCTCTGCCACCTTGTTCTTGGGTTGATGTCCACCCGCCGTGGGAGTAGAGCAGTGAGCGCCTGTGAGAGGCTGACGCAGGCTCTTCCACTTCAAAGGGCGGAAGAAGAGGCCATGCTTCGTGTCAGATAACACGGCTGTTGGGACACTCAAACCTGCGATTCACCCACTGTGAAGGGAGCTCCTGAGCATTTCACTTCTGTGTTCATCTTAGGAATCAAGAAAACCGCCGCCCCCACTGGCCATTCACACAGCACCTTTGTTCTTGGTGGCCTTGAGCCCAGGGTCAGGGTAGCTCAGAACCTAACGTTAGCACCACAGAAACATCTGTCACTAGTGGGTGACCGTCAACTGCCAATGACCGGAGGTGAAAAAAAATTTTTTTGTTGTTCTGGGGCTGGGAATGTGGCTCAGTGGCAGAGGGTTGCCTAGCATGTGCGAGGCCCTGGGTTCCATCCCCAGCACAGCAGAAGCAAAGAGAGCTCCTCCCTTCTTGGACTGCAGTGACAGTGCTCAGAATTTGTTTTGTAAACTCCCCTGGCTCTGATGTAAGGCATCAGAAGAGGTGGATTGGTTTTCACTGAGGGTTTTGAAGAGAAAGCCCTTGGACCCTCAAGGACAGATGCAACACCAGCTTCTTTGCATCTTTTAAGTGCAATTTCTTTGGTTTAGATTCATTTCTGGAGATTTTTGCATTCTATTCTAGCAGTTGGCTTCAATAAGAATGTCAGATATTGGAGGCATTTGGACTTTGATTCTACCTGGTGGCCTGCAGGGCGCACACACTGTCCCTTGTCGTACTGAGTTCAGGTTGCCACTTTCTCCCATGAGTCCCTGGGTAGGCCACCCAGGATATTAAGCCCCAGTCAGCCAATAAAACCTGCTAGTGGGTTGCTTTGGGGATTGAGCGCAAAGATCCAGGTTATGACCTGGAGCAGACAGGAAGTGCCCTTGTGCCCCTGTTTCTCCCTTTCTGACATCCTTTGGGGGGCTACCTTTTCTCAGTTGCCTTGTTGAGTCAGAAAATCCAAGCACTCTGCCCTTGGCTCAGGATGGGCGTTTGGTCTGAAGTGGGGCAGCTGGGATTCAATTCCTGAGTCACACAGGAATGCAAAGGTGCTGGGGAGGCCATCTGGACGGCCAAAAGCCACATGAAGCATTGTTCCACACACTGATTACAGTGCACCTGCTGAGGCTCCCCTGGTATCCCTGGGTTGCACTTGCCACAGCTGTTCTGGGTCCAGTTCCTTCTGAGCCAGATGCTCCCACTTTGCCCGCTGTTTACAGTCAGGGTTCTCTGACTTTAGCTTAGAATTTGCTTCTGTTGCTTGCCACTGAAGTGTCCCAACTTATAGGACGTAAGATAGGTACGTGTTACTTCCCTTCATCTCCTCCTCCATGCCCTGCCCTCTGGAGTTCAGTTCTCCTCTGTGCTGCCCTATAACTGCCCTGAGTCTTGCTTGGCATCCCGCACCTCCCTGTTTGCTCCCTCTGCCGCCCTGTGCCCCAGCACTGCCTGTCCAGCCTCTGCAAATGGAACTTTGCTTCTGTCCATATGGCAGGGCTCAGCCAGCTGTGGACTGGTTTCTCGGGTTCTGGGATACTCGTCACTTACTGGATGAGTGTAGTTAGTCCCAAGGTTTTTGCTCATTGGTGAAATAAATGGTATATTAGCAATATTTATTCTCATTATAATGACAGGTTTGCTATTTATGGATAAGTAAGCTTAAGCATCAAGCTGGCAAGAAGAAAACCCATAATGACATGCTGCAGAGAGCTGTGGATGTGATCATCATTTTAATAAAACGCAAAAGTTCCCAAATCAATTAGGACCTTGGACACAGGAATATCGCAGTATTGGCTTACACGTTGTCTCCTATGGGAGTCATTTTTTTTTTTACATAAAAATGCGTAGATTTTAAAATAAAAAGTCACACCCAAAAGTTACAGTAATTCTTCATTAACGTTGACCATCTGGTGAGTGTTCAAGTTTCCAGTTCAAATCGTGTTCGAATAAGAAGCCACACAGCAGCTGGTGGATGAATTTGTGTCTTTTGATCTACAGGTTTCCCACCTCTATCTCCCTTCTCTTTCTGTTTTACTTGTAATTTACTAGTTGGAAAAACTGGGTCATTAATCCTGGAGAATTGCTCCCACTGGTGCTTTCTGAGGTCTGTTTTACACTTGGTACCCTGTAACCTGTTAGGGTTTGGTGACATTCATTTAATGACAGCAACTACAAATGCCAATGATAATGATGTTGATAGTGACCCTCTATTTATGCTGACTGCTATTTCCAGGCACCGTGTTAATTGTATTACATAGACTGTCTAATGTTTGCTGCATCGTTGTGGATGAGGAAACTGGGGCTTGGCAGTGATAAGTCGCTGGTCTGTGTTCAGGAGGCTACCCCGCCAGTGTTGAACCAGGACTTGATCTTGGCTGACTCCACACTTGGTGTTCTTTCTGTTACCCTCTGTGGCCTTCCCTGTACCTGCTAGGAACAGGAGCTGGGACTTGCTTGTCGGCTGGCTAAGGGAGTCAGGACAGTGAAAGCAGTGGCAAGCCTGCTAGCTCTTAGCTTGTCAAGCCCACGGGGATAATTGAAGGGGCAAGGAGAAAAATGGCAGCTGGCAGACGGTTCCCAATGTGAGCACGTATCGGCGTAAACAAACCTGTGTGCTTGCTCAGATGCCAGGCCCATCAGACACCTCTTGTCCTCTGCCTGTTCCTGAGCATTGGTGTGACCTGTCCAGGGCAGCAGAAGGGACAGAGCTTGCTTTTGGAGGCTCTTGGTTCTTTCTTCCTCTCCTGGCCTTCCAGTTACCCATCATGTTGGGGCAGGGCATGCACAGCTGCAGGTCACAACCGGGCCTCTATGCAGGCACCCAGATCCCAGAGCATTTGTCCTTGCTGATCTTATGGTTTCTTTTCCAGGAGATCTTTGGGCATCTCATTCCCACTACTACATGGCATGGTCTCCGTCCTCAGTGGCGATGGTGTCCAGGCTCAGCTCCATGCCATTTGCTCTGCCTGGTGTGTGCTGATGAGTCTGTTTCCCTCGAGGCCTCACTGCTGGGAGGGCCTAGAGTGGGGTCTGGAGCACTGGGAACGCACAGATGAACTTCCACAGAGAA